GGTTGGGGTCTAAAATGCCCAGGCTGGCCTTGAACTTGGGACCCTCTTGCTTTTGCTTCCCAAGTAGCTGGGAGTATAGGAATGTACTACTTATTTTGCCCTCAAAGTAGCTGTAACTGCTAAGTTAGGAGATAATTCCTCCCCAGCTCATGTTAGCCATGAGACATTCCTCAGCTCCAGCAGCCGCACAGGTTTCTATGGACTAGTCCCACATCAGCTTGCCATCACTTGCCGTTTGTCTATGCACTGCAAGGATGGTGTCTAAGTGGGTTGTAAGTCCCCAGGGTTCAACACACAGCTTACATCCCAGTAGGAAGCTATCGGTGCCAGTAGAAGTAAGTGATCCACGCTGTACTTCTGCTGTTTTCGGGGCTAGGAGAGCTCCTTACCAGGACAAGGAAATGACTAAACCAGAAACTTTTGGCTTCATCAGGCTGACAGCCTCATTTGTAGCAGGCAATGAAGTCATAGTCAATGTTAAGAGTAAATTAGGTTTTCCTAATTATATTTTGAACGGGGACTTCAGAGAACATACAACACAGGGAAAATTCAGCTGGAAAAATATTCCAGGAGCCATAGTGCATAACTCTGTAACTTAATCTTGCTTTTCCTTCCCCACTGCAGAGCAGTTTGAACACCCAGGGCTGGCTGTGGAGCACCTGTTGTCAGGCCCTGGCAAAGAGCTGGTATCTGAGCTCCTGGGAATCCCTGGTTGTCATGGGAGGTGGTTTCCTCTGCTTTGCTTGAGCTGCAGGTGTAGTTCAGAGGTAGAGAGCATTTGCCTTTAGTTCGATTCCCAGCACCACATAAACACTCCAGCCACACTTCTTCCACTAGATTGCTGATCCTGCTCCAACATTTGCATGTTCACCCATACACTGAAGCCACTCCATCATACTCATGTCCTTGTTCCTGTAATTTCCAAGACCCAGTAAAACACGAAATCTAATTGTTCTTAGTAATAAAAACTCAAGAGTCAGCTATCAGGGGATGAAAGCTGAAGAATCAGAAAAGTAGAGTGGCAGCCACTAGAGTTCTTACCTCTACCAATGCTCAGACTGCAGTGAGCTCACGTCTTGTCTCCTCTGCCTTATATGCCTCTCTTCTCCCAGCCATATCATTCCTGTCTCTACCTCCCTAGTGCTGAGATTAAAGGCATGTAATCCCAAATGCTGGGCTCTCTTTTGTGTGAGATGTTTCTCTTTTAGATTGTATCAATTTTGTGTAGCCCAGGGTGGGCTTGAACTCACAGAGATCCATTTGCTTCTGTCTCCCAAGTCCTGGGATTAAAGGTGTGAGCCACCACTGCCTGGCCTCTAGTGGTTTAGCTCTGCACTCTGATTTTCAGGCAAGCTTTGTTAGAGCACAAAATATCACTACAGCCCAGATAAAGTATCAGCTCTTCATGAAGGTCCCCAGTGTTTGTGGCTACCTTTTTGTTGCTCTCTAAAGAAATATATTTTTGTTCTGAGACAGGGTTTGTTGCAGCATGGCCACTATGTACCAAAGAATGACCCTAAATTCACTCCCCCCACCACCTTCCTGTCCCAAATGCTGGACTGATAGACTTGTGCTACCACACCTGGCATTTTGTGATAGTTTTACTTTGTAGCTGAGGATGCCCTCAAATTCACGATACTGGTCCTACCTCAGCAACCAAAGTCCTGGGATTATACGTGCCAGTATGTGTAGACTTGAATTTCATCTATTATGATCCCATTAGATCAGGAGACCCTGGAAATAGCGACTTTATTATCTTATCTTTGTGAGTTCATAGGAATTAAAATTGAAATGGGGCAAGAGAAATGTAGACTCTATGATAAAAATGGCAGGGCAGGGCAGTGCACTCTGGAAGCAGGCAGATTGCATTAAATTCGGGGCTACCTTGCCTTTACTACATAGGGCTACATAGTGGGATTCTGTTTCAATAACAAGAAATATTGAAGTGACAGAGAGGAAAGGAAGGGGCATAGATTACTCATCTGAGAGCAGTGCATTAGACTTTACAGCTCCTTGGAAGCAGAGCAGGAAGGTAGGCATTGGGTTAGTCTGAATCCTGGCTCAGGAGTTAATCTAGGAACAGAGGTAAGTGGGATTTTTATTGTTGCAGCATTAAGGATCAAAGCCGGGGCCTTGTATAGGCAAATGCGAGTAAATGCTCTGTCTCTGAGAGATATTCCTAGGCTTGCACATTGCTTTTCCTCTTCCAAATTCCAAGATAAAGTACACACTGCTGCTGTGGCTACTGCTGCTATCTGCCTGGACTCCGTTATAGAATTTCGTGGAAGTACTTTTGCCAAGAGGGCAGCCACAGCAACTACCTAGAAGGGAGGCACTTTCATAACTAAGAATCAGCTGGTATGTGACAAATTACTTCAATACTTAAATGACATTGAAAACAATCTACTATCTCCCACATGACGTTAATTCACTATCTCTGATTCCATGGGTTTGGGATCCAGCTTATTTGGGTGATTCTGCTCTAGGCCTCACAGGTTTGTAGTTAGTATTGTTGGCCAAGGCTGAAGTCATTTGAAAACTGTCCTGGGTAACGTCGTGACTGGCTTTTCTGAGTGTGCAGTACCACAGGACAAGGCAGAGCTGTGATGACTTTCATCTAGCCCTAAGAGCCACAGTGATCATACCTGGAATCCCAGAAATTGGGGGCTAAAACAGGTGACTGCTGAGGCCAGCCTGGGCTACTGAGTAGGATTCTGTCTTCAAAAAGCAAAATAATAGCCAGGCATGGGGGTATATGCCTGTGATTCCAACACTCAGGAGACAGAGGCAGGCAAATCTTGGAGTTCTAGGCTGGCCTGGTCTACATAATAAGTTCCAGGACAGCCAGGGCTACACAGATAAACCCTGTCTCAAAAACAACAAAAAAGGAAGCAATAACTTTAGCAGCCCCAAACAAAATCACTTTAAAAGTGATTGTAATTTTTTTCTTAGTTGTAGAGAGAAGGGCCTAAGTTTAGGTCAAGAGGATCCATGGCACCTCTGAATGCTTTTTTCCCCCCAAGAATTAAGAGAGATTAAAAATAGGGATGAGTCTTTAATGAAGAAATTTCTACCAGGAAACCTTGATCAGCCAGGAAGCTGTCATTTCCCAGTTTTGAGAAAACCTGGTGTCAGTCTCCCTTTGGCTGTTCTAAGGATCCAACAATACTAACTAAAGTGGAAAGAGAGAACCTATAGGTGTTCTTCCACTATTGACTGGTATTAATCAAAATTTTACTTTTTCATCATAAAGGAAAACACATTCTAGATATGAAAGGTGTAATGGAAAAGCTATCATCATAACTGCCAACTTCATCTAACTGCTCTATTTTGTGTCGAAATGAAAAAAAAAAACTTGTTTTTTTTCTGAGATACAGTTTCTCTGGGTAATCCTGACTATCTTGGAACTCATTGTGTAGAGACCAGGTTGGCCTTCAACTAAGAGATCTGCCTGCCTCTGCCTCCTGAGTGCTAGATGAAAGGCATGTGTCACTGTGTCCAGTGAAAAATCTTTTTAAATTAGTATTTTGTAGGGGAAACGTACTGGTAAACTTCTTGGTCTTACAAAGCCTAGAGATTACTACTGTAAACATTTTGGTAATTTAATTACCTCTTAGAGTCATGGGAGACTGAACAGTAGAATTTAAATGATGGTGAATGGCACTTGAGTTATGAGTTAAGTCATCCAACATGTGGGAAGATTTGGCAACTCAATGAGAATGGGGATGCCATGAAGTCTTTATTTACCACTTGTTGAGACCTGTTTGGATAAAATCTTCTCTTAGTTTTTTCTGCCCGTATAAGCAGGTTCCAAAAGCTGTTATGAGAACATTCAATAGTGTATCATTCTTTAAAATGTTTCCTCAAACTTTCTACAACAAAAGTATTCCTAAGATTGGCTCATACACCAACAGTCTGGCTGCCTACTACATGCAAGGGGGTATGGCTGGCCTTTGAGGGTACAGGAAGCAAATCCAAGCAGAACCAGCATGAATAGTTACCAATGTGTGAAGGGTGGGCAAGCTCTGCATTAGCTGATCATCTGCACTGCTGAAGCTCAGCAACTGGGGTCTCCTTGTGTTATCCATGCTGGTCTCAAACTTTTAGGTTCAAGTGATTCTCCCGTTTCAGTTCCTTAAGTAGGCATGTGCCACTCCACTCTGTCCAGATCACCGTTTTGTAGTAGGAAGGCCGCTCACTAGTTAGTTCCCAGCCACTTAGCCCCAAAATAATCACACAGAAACTATTATTTAAATCACTGCTTGGCCCATTAGCTTTAGCTTCTTATTGGCTTTTACATCTTAATTTAACCCATTTCTATTAATCTGTGTATCCCCACGTGGCAGTGGCTTACCAGGTAAAATTCTGGCATCTATGTCAGGCAGGTCTACATGGCTTCTCCCTGACTCCGGTTCCTTTCTCCCAGCATCCAGTTTAGTTTTCCCTGCCTAGCTCTGTTCCCCTATAGCTCTGCTACAGGCCCAAAGCAGTTCTTTTATTAACTAATGATATTCACAGCATACAGAGGGGAATCCCACATCACCCTTTCATTTTATTGTGTATCCTGCTGTCCAATGACAATGCTGGGTTGATGAGGCTTCCTAACTTGTTCATGGGCGCATATCTGGGAAAAGGCTGCAGTTTCAAACTCAGGCCTCACTGGAGTCCAGAACTAATGTGTTTTTTCAATTTTTTAAAAAAATTATGTATTGGTGCTCTCTCTGTGTGTATATATATATATATATATAATATAAATATATACATATAAAATAGGTACATTGCATGTGTGAGATAGTTAATTGTGAGCTAACATCTGGGTGCTGCAAATTGAACCCAGGTCCTCTGTAAGGACACTTAGTGCTCTTAACCACTGAGCCATCTCTCCAGCCCCAGAACTAGTATTAACATATCACATTGAGGATCAGGATCAGGGATGCTATGTGCTTTTGTGTGCTTTGTCCATAAATGAAAACAATGACTCATCCCCAAACTGGGCAGGGTTGAATAGCAGTTCTGTTTATTTTACTCAGTCCACGGCACCTGTGTTAACTTTCAAAGGTAGCCTGTAAGAAAAGCACTGTGATAAAAACAACATAAAAATACACTAAGAAAGAACATGTATGTGTTTGCTGCTTCTGGCAAGAAAACACGTCGATTCTTGTTAGCTGAAAAAACAAATCAAAAAAGCTTAAGGATTAATAACCAAAGCTTGCTTTCAAACACGTCCCTCTTTTTTTTTTTTTTTTGTTGAGTCTCACTGTATATCCTAGATTGGCTTCAAACTCATTATAGCCTAGGCTAGCTTTGAACTCAAAATCCTCTGCTTCCACCTCCCCAGTGATGAAATTAGACATGAGCTGCCTCACCCATTTCCAGCAGCCCTCTAGACATACTTTCTCTTTGTGCTCCATGATGACACTGTCATTAGTTTGATTCTACAAGGGTAGAGATCTTGAAATACTCACATGTGGATTTTCTCACAGCCTGATCCATTTGTGACAACGAGGCAGTGCTTGCTGAGATAACCTAAAGGGGCTGCCACATTATCTACATTAGCCTTTGTTGGCTGTAAGAAATTAACACAGACTGTAGTTTGAAAGACACATTTATAAACGCTCAAGTCGAAATATGGAGTGGGTTCCAGGGGTTTCCTGCTTCAGTCTGAGGCTGAAGTCAAGGAGCCTGTTTTCCTTTCTGAGGACCCTTGTTTCTGAGCTCATCTACACTGCCAGAGTTCAGCTCTGCTGGATTGAAGGACTATAGTCCCCAATTCCTTGCTGCTGTCAGCAGGCTTCTTAGTCCAGAGGCTGCTTACACTCCTTTGCTTTCTGCCACTTCAACGTCAGCAACAGTGAGCTGAGTTGCTTCCTAGCTCCAAAACACCCATGCTTTCAAGGACTCATGTAATGATCTTCCTTACGGCCTAAACTTACCTGCAAAGCTCTTTTCCCACTGAATGGAATAAATTCTGAGTTTGGTGGTGTACGAGGATGAAAGAAAGTTTGGATACTCCTGGGTAGGAACTGTTGGCCACAGCGGCCATACTCTAAACATAAATATTTTAGTCAGATCTGTTGGCACAGGCCTGTAATCCCAACTATTCTGGGGAGGTAGAGCAGAGTCAAGCCAGCCTTTGTGACTTAATAAGAACTTGAAAAAATAAAAGGTAAAAAGGGCTTGGAAGGTAGTTTAGTGGTATAGTAGCTACCATGCATGAGCTCAATTTCTACACAGAAAAACAAAAAGCAGGCATTTTAGAGTGATTCTTCCTCATTTAATCTCTCGAAGTGTTTGTATGTGTTGGAGATATGAGTGATTCAAAATGTTTGAAATAAGTTACAACATTCTCTCAGAGGCAACTCAGTTGCAGATTGAAAACATAAAAACTGTAAACAAAACAACAAAAAGCCAGGCATAGCTGGGCATGTATTTTAATCCCACATGCATTAATTGGAGGCAAAGACAAGGTCAGCCTGTTTATACTGTGAGATCTTGTTTCAAAATAATAATAAAGGGCGCTCAGTGGTTGTGTGAGGCCCTGGGTTCAATCTTTAGCACTAACATTCCCCCCCCAACAAAATCCTAATATACACCTTTAATCTCAGCACTCCAGAGGCAATAGCAAGTGGCCAACCTGATCTACATAGTGAATTCCAGGACAGCCAAGACTACATAGTGAGATCCTGTCTCAAAACAAAACCAAACCTAAAATGTCATAAAAAGAAATGAAACAATTTTAGAAGTTATTCCTCAACTCCCTGTTGGGATGAAATCAAGTGGGGGATGTAAAAATATGTAAATCTCACCTATAGTCTATTCACTGTAGATTGTTTGCTTTCTGGATTTGAGCCTAGTGTGACCAGAACTAAATACTGCTGAGCCCCTTAGGTGGTAGGGGTCAGACTGCTCTGTAATTGCTGCCTCAGCCCTGGCAGCCTGTGTGCTAACACCTGAGAGAATAGAGTTTTTCCTCACCCACAGAAACCTTCCAAAAACTTTGAAATCCGGTTTCCTAGTTTTAAAAACGGGCCACTAATCCAGTTCAAGGCTGATTGTAGAAATGTTTCTGGATATTGATTCAACAAATGCAAGAGAAAAATACTTTATGTTCTGGGTGCTCCAAACCTCATCCCATTTAACACTTGCAATCAAGGTTCTGAGAGAAGCTCCATTGCTCACTGTTTGTGAGTGTGTAGTAACAGCTATCATTTATTCTATGTCAGAAGCCAAATTACAGGAGCCTAATAATATCAGGATCCTCCACATCCTCTCTCCGATCTTCTAGATACTTCATGCTAATTTGTACCTTTTCAATCTTGTGCAATAGTATGCTAACACAGATCAAATCGAGGCTCACAGGGGTTAAGAGGAGTCAGGGAGTGACCGCTAGGATTCTAAATCTAGATTTGGTTGACCATTGGGACCTGATCTCTCTCCAGGGTACTACCTCTAAAATAACACGTGCATTTTGATCTAAATGGCCCTTAAGTCTTTATTACCAAATTCATCTGACAGCAATTCTGCGGTAGACTGCAGGTGCACCCTCGGCAAATACACTGCAGTCCGACAGTACAAGAGGAAATAAGCAACCGTCTAGGTCGGTCAATCAAGAAATAACCGTTTTACTGATATGAGTGTCTTTCTGCTTATTACTATGCGCCAGTTGAGTCATTTAAGGGTGGACCAAAAGGGAAAGTACTGCTTCTTGTCACCCACCAGACGTGCAGATAAGAACTGTATTCAGGGGGATGCCCAAAGTGGAAGCAGGGTAATGGACTACCAATTCCGGATCCTCACCCTCACAGGACCCGCCCCTAGTCCCAAAAAGCATAGAACGGGTTAAACACGGATAGGGGGAACCCAGCCACCGCCCCTTCCCAGCAACACCTCCCAGAAACCCTCAGGGCTCCGCTAGTTCCCGAACCTCGCGAGACCCCGCCCCATCCCTTCCTGACTGACTTCCCGCCCCCTTCTTTACCGAGCTCTGAGCGCAGCGGGGTACGGAAGAGAGTGGGCGGAAAGCAAGATTCCCGGAGCACGACGGGAAATGTGGTCCAAGCACTTCAGGCAGCCATTTTCTTCCGGAGCGGGGGAGGCCGGGGAGCTAGTAAGGACTACAAATCCCAGCCATCCTTTCGGTTTGTTTTTGTTCAAAAAAAAAAAAAACCCACACTCCCCCTCCTCACTCTTCTCTCTCACACACACGCGGACACACATACACACACACATACACACACCCACGGCAGACACTCACGGACCGGAGCGTCGAAGGGAAAGCTGCGTCTCGCCATCTCGGCCCGCCACTCGTCCGGTCTCGGTTTCCCAGCAGCGCGGGAAAGCGGAGGCCCGAGCCGTGACCTCTGACCCCGTGGTTATGCGGAGCCGCCGCATTCCTTAGCCATCGCGGGGCTGCCGCCGCCGCTGCCACCGTGGGCGACTGACGCAGCGCGGGCGCGTGGAGCCGCCGCCCCTCCC